TGAAGTCGAGGATGCCCAGAAAGGAGCCTGTTAGCATCCGACAACGGAAGAAAATGAAACACAGTTACTAAAAATATCATTCTACATATACTCAAAATCTTGAAAATCTCTAAAAAAGTAAAAAAAAATTTATAGTTACCTAGCGTGTTTTTGAAACTTTATTCACCTTTTGCGGAATTTTTAGAGTAATTTTTTCACTTTTCCCTACGAGACAAGGGTTACACATGAATTCGTAGTGGTTTGTCACCTGCGTCACGGGCCCCGGTACCAAGGACCCAGTATCCCCCCCCCCCCCGGTGGCGGGCCTGCTCCAATTAACCATTGACATCGAGACATTGAAATCNGGGGGGGGGGGGGGGGGGGGGGGGGGGTTGTTCAGCTTAAGCAGATGCATTGGCTTACGAAGCTGAGAAGCCAGGAAAAGATCTATACATAGTTCGAGTCTTTTGCTAATTTTTGGAATTTTTCAGCCTTGATTTTCATCATAGAGTGGCGTGGACCCGTGGGGGGGGAGGGGGAGTAGTGGAAGAAGAAATACTTACAGCAACTTATTCTTATTGGAATGAACTTAACTATCAGTGCAAAGGCTCCAGAAATAGAATAACGGTTGATCCACAGATGAGGAGATAAATTTTTAGCAGAGCACGGGTCTATTAGCAAGATAATCTATTCGAGGAATTTATGGTAATGAAGAAGCGAGAGAGGAAGGAGAAAATATCTACTAAAAGTAAAATTATATGGAAATCACTCCCAAACAATAAAAGATCAAGTTGATCGATGTAGGCCCTCATCGGTCTTTGATCATTTATCACCATGAGTGTCGGTGGTTTTTAAGATCTCCATTTTTTTCTGCTTTTTGAGTTCTGACTTTTTGCTCTCCGAGTACGTGATTAAGTTTCACTTTTCTAACATCATCATTTAGCACCAGCGGTGGTTTTTACAAGTTGGTATGAATGATTTTCCGCCATTCAAAGGTTTATCGAAAAATCGATTTTTTCAGTGAGGTTGGCTGCCTAAGTCAAAATCGAAATTTTTAATGGAATTAAATGGAGGAATGTTGCCACTCAGCGAGATTCACTATTGCTAAGCATGCTCTACATCGTTTTCCCTACATTCGCGTCTCCGCAAGTGTGTGAAAATGCAGTCAAGGGTTGACAGGGCCCACTCACCCACCTCCACCAATAGAACCGCTCCATTTTCTCTTTATCGTCTTTGCCCAGAAAAAACTCCGACCGCGGAGGCCGTACTTTCGGGCATAGACATACCGTCTGCATTCCCGGCTCAGAGGCCGAAATCTCCGGGTATAGCACCCGGAACTTACGGCCTTTAAGCCCGGAACGTACGGAATGTCTGTATAGCCCGTAACTATTTTTTTACGTGTGTCTAAAGCTTTGACTATCAATTTCAATTATAAGCCCGCTGATCATATGTATCAAATATTTACAATACAGGTTGTTTTTACATGGTTCTTTCTTTCTGTCATTGGTAGATGCGATTTGACCACGGTCTATCTCTCTGCACGGTGCACACCTTTCCTAGCAGGGCCTCTTTTTAAAAAGTGAAAGCCAAAGTGAGGGATGAAAAAAATAAGCGAATAAAAAATGCGCACCAAACGAGGCGTGGGTGAGTTGTCAGGCATACTGCATGGCTGGAAAGGATTGTCTCGGGACGGACGGCGCGAGGCGCGACGGGTCGGCTTGAGTCAACGCGAAAGATACAACGCAGCGGCGCGGTCGGAGCGGATTTGATAGCGCGGGGCAAGAAATAAAACGATGATGGTCGAAGATGTTGATAATTGTAGTCGTAGACTCTCAAGCACTTAAAAATAAGGAGGAATAATGAGTTATAATAAACTCGTTAGCTTCGTAATGAATCGAATCCGTCGCGGAAGGATTCTCGCACGCTAACACCGGGCGCACACGTGACCTCAGGTCTAATTCGTCGCTTACCTGACATAAGGGCGAAACTACACTCTGCAATGAGCCCTGTCTTCCATACAATTCAATGCTTTTCCGGGCTTACCTCAACGTGTAGTTATACCCTTATGTCAGCCAAGCGACGAATTATTGTGGCCTGATTTATGACCGTCCACAAAAAAAGGGACCTCGGTTCATAAAAACTTCAATTTGAGTGATTGTCACCCCAATCACGGGGAAAAGAGTATCCCAATCCCAACTATACTCCTGGCTGATTTTGGCGTCGGTTATAAGAGTAGTTGCACCAGGCAGAAGTGCGGTTGAGTCAGCCGAAATCGTGGTTGGATCAACCGACACTGGTGTAACTACTCTTACAACTGGCGCCAAAATCAACCAGGAGTATATTTGATATTTTCAGTGATACCCAAATATCACAGGTTGAAGTACATTGCAACCATGTGGGAAAATTATTGCTGTTGCATCAAAGTGTTGTGTATGCTGCCTATCTCTAAATTGAAGGGGCTCTCTGTGTTGGAATGTATTTCAATAAAATTGAAATGAGTTGCATTTTTTCATCACATTGAAGATGCATGTCTTTCATCTGCTTGTCTGGTCGTTTAAAAGCGACATTTATTAACAAAATGAAGCGCAATTATTGTAATTTCATTTTAAAACAAGGCAATTTCATTGCAAAAAGTGCAACTTGAATTTTCAACGACAAAAATTTCATTGTTTTAGTTGCAAAATATTACTTAGCAGCGACGGAAATATTGAAGTGAAGTTGCAGTAATTGCAATAAAATGCCATCAAATTGCAATATTTTCACATAATTTGGTTCATGAATGCCGTTTCAAAACGCTCGATAAGACATTTTGGGACAAGAAATGCTCAAAAGTGGCAAATCAAACGAAAATTCTGGCAGTTTTAAATTTGTAGCTAAAAAGCAGACGTCACAAAATGCTGATTAATTTTTCGACCTGACTCGCCAGAAACAGTTCTCCTGTCGTGAGAGTACCGCGAATTTAAAAAAAAGCAAAGCTGAGATTTACCAGCGCTGTTGCCAGCTTCGAGAACGGTTTATTTCAAACGCATGAACAGCGCAAATCATGGTTTCCAATTTGGACCCAATATTCTTAAGAGTAATAGAAGGCAAAGGTCATATGATCATAATCAAAATTATAATTTTCAAAAAAATGTCACTTTTAGAGCAAAATGAGGTCGAGGGAATTTTTTGAGGCTACAGCAGCAATTATTGTATTCGAACAAAAAAAAATCGTCAGTTAAAGATCACCCGAAGAATGCTAACGCTAACCTTTAATAATGTAGATACGATTGATCGGCAAAGTTGCACATTTTTGCGAGCGAAATACATGTAAGTTTCGTATTCAGAAAGTCAACAAATTACATATTATCCTCATTAAACCAAATTAGAAAATTGCAGTGGGGCGGTTGTCGTATCGACTTTTTTTCTGATAAAAAATCTTTCCAGGTATGCAGGCTCAAAGGTTAAAAAGATCCTATCACCCTAAAAAATTCTTCACTAATTTTCAAGCATCTTTTAATCCGAATTTTTTACCTTCTATCGCGGCTCTGTGGACTGCATCAACAGCTGAGCACACCAACGTTTATGACATTTTTCCAGAGAATCACCACGACTTTCGTGGATATCAGAGGGAACCTATAGACGAACCTGCTATTGATATTTTAAGCTGTCTATTTGAACGATGTAAATTTTCATTTTTTCACTATTAGCTCGTTCTGGAGATTTATTTGGCCAAGACCAATGATTTTTGCTGGTATTGGCAGGTAATAACTTCTGAATGAGCTGGTCTCGTTCAAACTTAGAACTCAGCCTTTTCAGGGCGCGAAGCGTCACTTTTGACAAGCTTACCCCTTGTCATAAAATACTTGAGGCAGATTTAGAGCAAAAAACGTCAGGTACGTAGCCGGGGAGGGAGGCTTGCGGGGCTCAAGCCCCCCCCCCCTTGAAAGCAAAAAGGGAGGGAGAGAATGAAGAAAAGAAGAGATAGAAAATAAGAAAAGGCGAGAAAACAGGAAGTTTGAACTTTCAAAATGCGTTCAAATAGACTTAAAATTTCTAAAATTTTCCAAATTTGTTGAATGCAACCATTTGAAAGTATTTTAGGCTGAAAGTTAAAAAAGGAACTTAAGAAATTGATGGAAAATCTGCGTCACGGAAGCCTCAAAATGCGTCCAAATATATTTAAAATTTCAAAAATTTTCCGGGGGAGCCCCCTTGGACCCCCCCTCCCTCTGAGCTGGGAGGTATTCCATACCCCCCAAACTCCCCCCCCTCAGTCGAATAGAGGGGGAGAACCTCGCTCACCCCACCAAGCCCCCCTCGAAAAAAAATCCTGGCTACGTGCCTACCCTCGCCGTCAGTTCGTTCAGCGCTTAAACATCCTGAAAATCGTCCGCGGCCAGCCTCATGTGCGACGCGGAAAGTGCCTTTCAGAGATGATTTTAAGCGAGTGGCTCAAACTCGGGGAG